TAGAAATGAGTTGATAATTCTTATACTCCGTATGTGATTATTAATAATATGGTCTACACGAAACTTTTTAAAAGCTATGATCATTTTTGTACGGTGCCAACATATATCATAGTTCATTTTTTATAAAGATTCCTTAGGGCCATCGAAGAAGACACTTAAATTGTGGGAATCATGCTATTTCATTATCAAGTAGTACATATTCTTACCCTTTATTGTAAATTGACTTGCAATTTTTTATACGATCTTATTTTTTTCTTTCCCACATACTACAATTATATAATCATAGTTACAATATATAAACTCTACCATATTGTGATCTTTTATTTAAAATAATTGAATATTACATATCATCACAACAAAAGTTAATTTTAAACAAATTGTTAACCAGCTCTAGATGTACCCGTGCATCGCACGGGTATCGCGTCTAGTGTACATATACAATACAAACGACCAAAGAAACAAGAGACCGTATCAGTGGAACGGGAGGAAACCGGGAAGAGATATTACTCAAAATAGGACTACAAAAGTTTGAAAATTCCAAAATAGAACTTCCATGTTTTTATTCCCGAAATAGGACTAATTACTGTCATGTTTTGGCAGTACCAGACTTTAAACAAGGCAGTATTTTCCAAATTTGGCAATAATTAGTCCTCTTTTGGGAATAAAAACATGACAGTACTATTTTAGAATTTTCAAACTTTTTTAGTCCTATTTGGAGAACTTTCCCTTAAAGAAATTCTATGTTCAAGGTATCATGTCCGATTCCCCCAGTGCCATCAGCCTTTTTTTTTATCCCTACCAATTCCTCAATCAGCAAATCGATCAACCTCCGCCTCTTTGCATTTGCATATTTTTTTTGGATTAATTATTAAGCTTTCTTTGAATCTTAAGATTTAGTTAATATATTTATGTATTTATAAACGTTATTTTCAATATTGTATGAGTTAGAATAAAAAATATTTCGGTGTTGTACCCAAATTTAAAGAAATTCGGAGTACCGAGAGTAGTTCAGGTGTTAATTCAAATGATTCACCATTAGTAAATGAAGAATTGGATCAATTAATTGCTACAAGTGAAGCTAATTTACCTGATAATCTACCTAAACAATATGTTGATTTTGAATCTTTGGAAGTTGATCCTGGATTGATGGTGTACGTTAACTATGAAGTGTTATGCTTCTTTCATATTTTTTTATTAGTTTTATATTAATTAGAGATATACAATGATATGTGATATGCACTAGTTAGTAGTGCATAAATGTGTATTTTTATATCTTGTTTTGTGTGGATTGTTTACCATTTGTGTGTAGTTGTAAACATTTGTTTACTTTTTATTTGTAAGTGTTTTTAGCTTTTATTTGTGGGTTAGGAAGTTTTGGTAGAATTGTTGGCAAGGAAAAGGAAGAAAAAACAAGGAGAATGCTGCCCAGAAGTATAAACCCGACCGGGTAGAAACCTTCACCCGGTCGGGTTTGAATTAACATTTGTAGTCTCCAGGAAATTGCTTGGCCCGGTCGGGCCCTATACCTCACCCGGTCGGGTGAGACTTGACCGAAGACAACCCGACGTGCTGAAGAACACTAGAACGTGGAAAATATTTGATTCGGACCGGTACCCGGTCGGGTAGATACTCTACCCGGTCGGGTACTCGACCAAAGGTGTTGAAAAACACCTATAAATAGCACACTTTTCCTTCACTAAAAATAATCCCTTCTTCCATACTCTTAAGCTCAGTTTAGAATAGTATTTCTTTTATATTTTTATAGCATGTTTAGTCTCCAAATGAGGAGCTAAACTCTTCCATCTTGGTTTTGCTACTTTGAAGCTTAATGAATTTGTAAGTTGTGAGTTATTATCTTTAATCTTCTTCCTTGAATATTAATTCTTCTTTTAAATACTATTTCTATATCAATGTTGGGGAGTGTTACTAAGATGACAATTAGTTAACATCTTGACATTAGTTATAGTAATAGTTATTTCTTCCTCTACGTTAATATCGGGGAGTGTTACTAAGATGACAATTAGTTAACATCTTGATATTGACTATAGTAAGATTCATCTTCTTTAATATTCTTTCTTGAGTATTAATTAATTCCTATTCATATTTCATATTAATATTTTGAACATTATTTAAAGGATCAACTAGTTTTGTTTCATATATTAATTAATACTAGAATCGGTCGATTAATACGCTTGTTATTAATTCGGTCCTTTCATGGTAGTAAACTTGGATTATTAATGCATGCATCTCATGGTTAATAATCTAAGGGGAATTAATTATATTGATTAAACCAATAAACCGCTTGTGTTGAGGTTATCAATCTCAATCGTTTTCATCTTAAGTTTATTGCTACTATCAAGTTAATATACGGCGCTTGTTCTATATTGACTCGATAGTAAGTTTTATTAATGAACGCTTCTCGTTATTAATAACTACCCTCGATGAACTGGATATACTCCTCGATTGAGTATTCGAGAGGAAGATAGTTAAAGATATAACCGGGATCGACGAACATTTCATTAAGTGGATAAAAGCAAAGCCAAGTCTTCTTCTTATTTATTAAACCACATAACTCGTTCATCTTCGTGTTTAATTTATTAAACCAAATCAAACTAAAACCCCCCATTTTGTTACTAGTTTTATAAAAAGAAAAGTATTCCTTTCCCTGTGGATACGAACCTTACTACGCTATACTACGTATAAGTGTTGTATTGTATTATTATTTTGAGTGCACACTACGACAAAGTGCACGTCAATATGGATCTCATGATTCCGACTTTCTGGGTCCGCCACTATATCTTCTCCAAAAGAAAAAACTCGGTAGCTCGCCTAGCCCAGGGACGGAGGTGTGTATTGAGGCAAGGGGCCATGGCCCCTCCCAACTTTTATTTTTTAGTTAGTAGTATTATGTATTTTATATTTGGCCCCTCCTGCAAACCTTTTACAGAGTACTTGTTATTTGTTAGGACTATTAGTCCTTATACAGTTATACGTAGTTCAACTATGTCCTGAAATTATAATAACGGACTACTATGCATATATCAGTAATTCGGTATATATAATCTGATCTCAACACCGTTTTCCCTCTCACACATGCATAAATACGCAACACATGTAAAGAAATCTTGATTATTCAAGACGATGCTACTACTTATTGTCATGCTTTTAAAAAGTATATCACTAAAAAACTAGTGTGAATTCTCTTGTCGATGATTTTCGTGACATGCAAGAGCGATGTAACATTCTAAATTTTAACTAACGCGGCGCTTACTCGTGTACTTTTGAATTTTTTAGATGAATACCAATACATCATTTAATGTTTATATTTTTAAAATTTTAATGTTATTATTTTTTACTATCTCACCACGCCCCCCGCCCCCCGTCATATCCTGGCTCCGTCCCTGGCCTAGCCCTTCTCCTTCACTATATTCTGTTTCCAGTTTCCCACACACACCTCTTCTTCTCTGATTTTTCCACCACATGTTACTGTAAAAGTTAAGCACATAGGTATACTGATGATAAAATTAATTAAGTTCTAGCTAGTGCCTCGTGTCTACACGTCCACCAAAAAATTGTGAAGATCATAAATTTCATAAGATACGTTTCTTATAGTTGGGTTTTGGGAAAGTTCCCGAAATGGGACTAAAAAAGTTCGAAAATTCCAAAATAGGACTGTCATGTTTTTTATTCCCAAAATAGGACTAATTACTGCTAAATTTGGAAAATACTGCCATGTTTGAAGTCTGGTACTGCCAAAACATGACAGTAATTAGTTCTATTTTGGGAATAAAAACATGGAAGTCCTATTTTGGAATTTTCAAACTTTTTTAGTCCCATTTTGGGTGATATCTCTTGGGTTTTTCTCTTTGATGACTTGATGATCTCACTTCTGATAAAATTTTATATGAAATAGGTTTTGAAGACCGGTTCCTAACATGCATTAACAAACAAAAATTAATTGATGTACTCAAAAGTCATTTAACAAGTTATCAGCTAATTGTAAATGATCATTTAACCAAAAAATATTTTACAAACCGCTAATACTATCAGCTAATCAAAACAGCCAACAGAATTCACTATCATCAATCAGCCAACATAATTGGCCAACAGCCAACAACTAATAGTCATTTGCCAAACACCCCTACATAAACGAAGAAAGAATGCTAGTTTAGCCATTATTTATTATATAATAAAATACACACCGGCCAATCCTGTATTTAACACATAGGATTTACGTATGAAAGAAAATTTATATGCGCATGAAATATGGTTATAATTGACATAGAGTCCGTTTGGAGACCTCTTTTTTCGGCTTATCACGCTTATCAGTCAGCTTTTTTCACCAAACACGTAACTTTTACTTTTGTGTGGTGAATTGTGTAATAAGCAGAAAAAGTAAGGTTGAAGTTACTTTTCTGGCTGTATTGACTGAAGTTACTGTAGAGGACTATTTTAGCTATTTTTACATGTAATTTTTTCTATAATTTATTAATAAAATATATTTTTAAATTTTTTTTTTCTTAAATCAGCAGAATCAGCCAAAACAGCCACTTCAGCCAGAATTTCATAAATTTCAGCAGAATCAGCCAAAACAGCCGATTTTCGTGCTACCAAACGGGCTCATAATACTTCGTGAAGTATAACAGTAGTAAATGGCTATCCGTTTTATTTTTATAACACGGATGATTATATATTAAAAGGTGTGTTAGCGTAACATATTGTTACCCGCATACATGCACTCGGCAGTTACAATCCGGCACATTCTTAGGACTGTTGGGTCATCTTCATTTATCATTAATATACTCATGTGTATCAATTATTATCCATACGTGTAGTTCTCTTTAGTTGAAAGTCTTTGGTTGACTAGGTTCAATGTATGTACTGATAAGCATGCTAGGAGATAGAATAGCTAGTCAGTTATTTACGTACACTTGTATTTGACTCACCCTATTTAAAGGGCTGTACATTATTGAATACATACGGAAGTCATTATCATCTTCCAACTTGGTATCAGCAGTATTCTACACACCACCATGTCTTCTCCCAACTCTAAAACCTCTTGTTTTCACCCTGCACTTGCTGTCACCAACATAAAAAATTTCATCCCTCTCGCTCTTGACATGGAAAATGTCCAGTATTCATCATGGTCAGAACTTTTCAAAATTACGGCTAGAGCTTATGAAGTTCTAGACCACATCCTTCCCTCCCCTGCCGATGAAGCTTCCTCTTCTGCTACACCACCGGCGGCGGCCACAATTTCACAGCGCCTTGAACAGGATGCCGCACACGCGGAAGCCTTGGCCCTTTGGACTCGTCTTGATTCAATCGTGCTTCAATGGATTTACGGAACTATTTCCATGGATCTTCTTCACACTATCCTTGTGCCTGATTCCACCGCCCAACGTGCGTGGGAACGATTGGCTGACATATTTCAAGATAATAAAAACTCTCGTGCCGTCCATCTTGAAACTCAGTTTTCCAACACTAGGCTGGAGCAATTCCCTACTGTTGCTGCTTACTGCCAAACTCTTAAAACCATTGCAGACAACTTGGCTAATGTCGATTCTCCTGTTGATGAACGACGCCTCGTCCTACGCATGGTCCATGGCCTCCCGGAACAATACAACACTATTGCCTCTCTTATTCAGCAAACTACCCCTCTCCCGGATTTCTTTAAAGCCCGTTCTATGATCAAACTCGAGGAGACCCGCATGGCTCAACAAACAACTCCCACTGTCACTGCTCTTGTTCATTCCGCCGCACCGCCTACCGCCCCTGCTCCGGCTCCTCGCGGTCGCGGCTCGTCTTCTCGTGGTGGACGTGGCCGCTCTTCCCGGGGAGGACGCGGCAGATCCAATGGTCGGCCAGAAGCTCCCTCCACTTCCGGACAATGGTATTGGATGCCGTCTCCTCCATGGACCCCTCCGCCATGTCCTTACCCCACTACGGCCTGGAATGGACAATCTTCACAACCTTCATCTGGTGCTGGCATTTTGGGAACTCGCCCTCAGCAAGCATATATCACTGCGCCTACAGTGATGACACCCACTCCCACTGCTCTTCCCACCGCCATGCAATCTCTGACTCTCACTCCACCGGACGATCAGTGGTACATGGATACAGGCGCAACCTCACACATGACGGGCAATTCAGGTTCTCTTACGTCTTTTTCTAATTTAAGCACTACACTCAAAGTTCTTGTGGGCAATGGCAATACCATCCCTATCACTGGTGTTGGTACGGCCATTCTTCCTTCCCCACACCCTCCCCTTAAACTCCACCAAATTCTTCATGCCCCATCCCTCATTAAAAATTTAATTTCCGTTCGCCGTTTTACTACTGATAATATGGTTTCTGTTGAGTTTGACCCTTATGGTTTTTCTGTGAAGGATCTCCAAACGGGCACCCATCTCATGCGATGTAATAGCTCAGGTGACCTTTATCCCGTTCTACCTGGTTCGTCTCTTCGGCAACCTTCTGCATTCCTCTCGGCAGCAGTTTGGCACAACCGATTAGGCCATCCCGGGCAGCCTGTTTTTCGCATTCTTAGTACCAATAAAGAAATAAATTGTAGTAGGCCAAATATTTCTATTTGTCATTCTTGTGAACTAGGCAAACATACAAAACTGCCTTTTTCACATTCTTTATCTGTAACCGCTTTTCCATTTGATATTATCCATAGTGATATCTGGACTTCTCCTATTCCTAGTGTTCATGGTCACAAATATTATGTTATATTTGTTGATGATTATAGCAAATTTATTTGGGTTTTTCCTTTACACCATAAATCCCAAACTTATTCCATTTTTGCTAAATTTTACGCTTATATATTCACTCAATTTGAGCGCAAAATTAAAGTATTTCAATGCGATAATGGAAAAAAATTTGATAATCATCAATTTCACACTTTTGGTTCTACCCATGGCATTCACTTCCGTTTCTCATGTCCATATACCTCCCCCCAAAATGGTAAAGCTGAACGCTCTATTCGCACTATTAATAATATTGCCCGCACCCTTCTCATTCATGCCTCTATCACTCCGGATTTCTGGCCTCACGCCGTCAAAATGGCCACATACTTGCACAATATACTTCCTTGTAAAACTCTTTCCTTCTTATCCCCTACACATATCCTTTACCGTCTCCAACCCAACTACACCCACATCCGTACATTTGGTTGTCTTTGTTTTCCCCACAATACCTCTCCCACTCTACATAAACTTCACCCTCGGTCCACACCATGTGTGTTTTTGGGTTTTCCTGATCATCACAAAGGATACTTATGCCTTGATATCTCTACCCATAAAATCATTATTTCTCGGCATGTTACTTTTGACGAAACCAATTTCCCGTTTCATCAATCCCCACCACCGACTGTTTCCTCCTATAATTTTTTGGACGACCCCCCCATATACACCCGTTATCCGGACCTTCTTCCAAATATCTCTCTGCCCACTACGTCACACACACCTCTTACCCACATAACTCCCTCCCAGTCAGCAAGTCCACCCTCCTCACCTGACACATCACCATCAAGTCACCCTTCTGCCTTTATTCCACCCACAGCTGTTTCCTCACCAACACCCACCACTCCTGACACATCACCATCAAGTCATCATTCTGCCCCCTCACATATCCATACCATTCCCCCACATCCATGCACACGTACTTCTCACCATCCCATGGTGACTCGAAGTCGTGCCGGCATATATAAACCCAACCAGCCATATAACCTCTCGACCGTCGTTACCCCGTCTCCTTTCACTACAATAAAATTGGTTTGTAGAGGCATTACATAATTGCCTCTAAATATAAGAAAATAGCCCCTAATGGTTTTTGGAGGCAATTTTGTGGTTGCCAACAAAAATTCGGTCGCTAAATGGTGTTTGCCTCTAAAAACCTCCTTTGGAGGCAACAAAGGATGTGCTTCTAAAAAGTCATATTTAGAGGCAACCATATCCTTTCACCTCAAAATGTCATTCGAGGCAACCATGTTATGTTGTCTTATAATGCCATTAGAGTCAAACACATTTAATGACTCAAAATGTTTTTAGAGGCTATATTACATTGTGCTATAAATAATATTGCGAGGCAACTTTTAGTATTGTTGTGGATGATTTTTAGAGGCAACCATATATCATTGTCATTTTGTCGTATATTAATATTTTCATTTTGTCATATATTAATATAGAATACGGTGTTCGTTGTAGTTTAGATATATAAATATATACATACATTAGTAGCTAATAGCATGCATCAACAAAGTAATTAAATGCTTGCTTCGTAGAATTTAAAAATTCAAAATTTAGTTTAAAGTAATTACTTCAAAAGCAGGTGCACCAGTACATAGTTTGTTCAAACTCATATGTACCTTCACAAGTTACAAAAAAGGGAAACTAACTAGCTAGAGTTAATTTAGCAAATACTAAATCATTAAGATGGGACAAAGTATGTCTAAAAGCTAAAATAAATGCTTTAGAAAGATCATTCCTCATCATCAGCTTCACTATCATCATCATCATCATCACGATCACCATCACCATCATCATCATCATCACCATCACAATCATCATCATCATCATCATCATCATCATCATCATCATCATCATCACCATCACCATCACCATCACCATCACTACTATCATCATCATGGACTTTTTTATACTCCTTTTCAACCTATCACATAATGACGGTAGACAAGTATTTTCACAAACTAAAAAAAAAAAACTGAAAATAATGAAAAATAAACTAATAAATTACCTCATTCAAAAATAACTTTGAAAAATCGCCTCCCATAAGGTTGAAAAACTTCCCCATAACACCCTTCATTATTCTTACTTCTTTTTTGAAGTTTTTCACCTCCTTAGTGAGCATTTTATTTTTTGCATTAGCTTCTTGAGCTTCTTTTTTAGCCTCATTAGCTTCCTTCTTTGCCTCTTCAGCCTCTTTGCGCAATTTATCTCCTTCACTAGACAACCCAAACAATGAAGTAATGGACGGGCTAACTCCTGTTCCACGATCACGACCATTTTTACCTTTGGGTTTAACTTTTGCATAAATTTCTTCATCTGTCATATTGATTTCCCCTTGTTCACGTTGCTCTACAAGTTTATTTATTTTTAACTGCATCCAAATATACAATATATGTAATTAGTACACAACAATAAAACATTCTATATATGCAATTAACATTATTGAATTTATAAAAAAGTTGCATCTACGAATAAGTACATACTCCCTCCGTCCCCCTAAGTTTGGGACGGAGGGGTGTGGTGTGGTTTTTAAGAAAAAGTGGAATTCTGTGGTTGGTATTGAATTGATAAAGTGTAAATAAAGTAAGAATGAATTCTAACCACTCAAATGTTACCAAATATGGTATGGGACAAACTTAGTGGGACGGACGAAAAAGGTAAAACGGGACAAACTTAGGGGGACGGAGGGAGTATACACTAATGTCAACTCTCTGGTAGGATATAACTAGTATAACATTCTTTAAAAAAAACACTAGTGTAACAATAAACAATTTGATATCTAATATACACCAAATAGTATACAACCCAATAAAAATCTGCATCTACTTGCAGCTCTATAGTAGGATATAAAATTTGCCGCTCTACAAGTAGTTTATAACCTCAACAAACATAATCAAACTACAAGTACGCACATTAACTCCAACTAGTGTCCAACTACTACATATGCAACTTATGCATCTAGTATATAACAATAAGCACTTTGCTATCCAATATCTGCAGTTAGTATACAACAAAAAATATGACAAACAATCTGTTCAAAAAAATCAGCACTATCCTTGTTTCTATAAAACTGTACAAGAATCATTCTCCTAGCAACCTTAATTAACACATTAGTTGAGTTGGGCAATCACTTTATTTCAGGTGGTTCTCTACAAAAAAATCATATGTGTTATCATCCTAAGAACACATGAAGTAAATATTACAGTGAAAGGCTGGAACATATGTGTTATGTTTTAGAATCTTAATTCATCTACAAACAAATACACACAAGCTAGATGTGTGGATAGATGACGAGCTGAAATTTACCATAGTTTCCTTGGCAACATTAGTCACAAGAGTTTCATCTTTTCTGGTATGAGTCTTCTTGTACACTTTCAACATGTCGGGCATTACTTGGTCCGTTTGGAACTATTATGATAGACAAATTGTTATAATCTATAAATAATTAAATAAAACTAAGAATAAATCAGTATAAACATATTAATATTACCATATCTTCTACAACTTGAGCAAAACTCTTCGAACCAGCGGTGTGTCCGGCGTCTAGGTATGAGCGGTTATTACTGTTCCGTTTACTCATTTTCTATCAAAGAAAGCGAATCTTATTATCAATCAAACACATATCATTATACAAAATTTGAAACTTTAAAAAATCTGTTCAATAATAAAGTGTTGTAAATCAAACGGATAAACATAAGAAACTGCAATTAATGTGTGTGGGTGGCGTAGTGGACAGTTTATATAATTAAAAAAAATTAATTACCTGAAAATCAGGAGAACCAAAGTACTGGACAAGCCACTTCCAATCATTTTCATCAACATATGGTGGCCTATTTTCTTTTTTCAGTCGTTCAGCATCTGTTTCATGTGGATCATAAAAAATACTTTTCAGTCTTGCTCTATAATTCCTGTATTTCTTGTTCAGAGATCTCATCAAAGTTTTTTCTCTCTCTTTTTTTATCTTTTCACGATGCTCTTCGTCTTCACCATCATCAAGTCCGATATCAAATTTTTCCTGACGAATTAAAGGGTTCATATTGAAAAAAATGAATAAACACATAAAAATATGTATACGTGGATGAAAATAATCTTCATACCAGAATAAGCTCCCACATTGTGTCTTTATTTCTTTGAGGAATTTCTGAAAAGTCTTTCACATTATACAGGGGTGCATTTATGGGATCTCTAACAAGAGCACCACAATAACTTGCTAAGCTTGCTCTATTTATACCAATAGGTTGGCCCTTTATGTTAAAATCTACCTTTTTCCTCTCACCGGGTCTCATTTTAGCCATGAAAAGATTTCTTGTAGGACCTCTAGGAGTTTTTGTCTTGTAGACTTTCTTCTTCTTACTCACTGCTTAACATAATAAAAATGTCATTACTACATCACAAGTCATACTATACAAAAAGTGTTATATTATACAAAGATCACAATAAACATGGAAAACAATCATACCAAGAGTTTTAACATTTCTTGACATGAAAGCTTCAGGTGGATCTGTGTCATCTCTAGTCCTGATACTTAGAGTGTCACCATCTTCATCATCATCTAAGCATTTAGTATAATAAATAACATAAAATAACAAGAAATCAGTTATTGAAGCATAAAAAAGAAAGGAGGTAATATAGGAAATTATATATAGATATTGTTTCCTTTTTTGTGTTATATCATGTTCCTTGTGTTTGTGAAGAGATTGTGAAGGCTAAGCCTCCACATCAAGGTGAGGTCATGGGTATGGGGAAGGTCTCTAGTTGTCAGAGTCTATGGAGCAACTAAAAGGTTTGTAATCTACCTATATATATAGGTATTATTTAGCCATGATGATATACCGTTCAAGTAATGAAATAATTCTTATTTTTCCAGATTAATCAAATTTATTATTTCATCAAGATGAC